GTGCCACCAGAAGGAAAGAAAGTATTCATATTAAAGGGGTGTTCCTTACATTCTACACCTCTTAAAATACAGACAATCTGCAGATATGCAGTTAAGTGGTTATATATTCGGTAGTATTCCACAGTTTCTTCCCATGAGGCATTTGATCCAGTGTATTGACTAAACACCTAGGTATTTTCAATGACATGGCATACTCTGTTATAAAGTAGAATGCTTTCTTATGGTACACTATATCATATCCCTCTAATACTCTTTTACCTCAGGCCTGCGAAAAGACAAATGATACATGGGGTATATTCCATGGCTTGCCATGAGAAAGCATAAGGTTGGATTCAGGGGGTGGATTGGATGGCTAGCTACGTATCCCCCTTTAGAGTTGAAAATTTTTAAGAATAAAGGATAAGGTCAAACCTAAAAATGACACATTAATACCTCTCTAGGTAACAGCCACCCCCATTGAAATGTTTCCTGATAAATTTTCAAATAAAATTTTGAGCAAATGTTTGTCCAAGTGCTGTTAGATTTTCACACTTAAATAATGTTTCTATACTATTCCATTCTTCAATTGTTTCAACGATTCTTTGATTTTCCTTTTGTTCTTTCATTAGTCTTTGGTTGCTGGTATAGAAAAGTTGAGCATTGACATAGCACTACCATGTGGGGTGTGTGGTAATGTAGGTGAAAACTGGTTGTGCTTGAAGTGTTCAAGCGTGTACTGCAGCCGTTATATCCAGGAGCACATGATGCATCACAACAATCAAAATCCAACCCATGAGATAACACTCAGCTTCAGTGACTTGAGCTTTTGGTGCTATGCTTGTGATAGCTGTAAGTTATGATTCTATTGATCATGTAGCTGTAATGTTCATGTTATACAAGGCTAAAAATAATGGCCAATGTTTGAACAATGTCCAGCAAGAATTGGAACTTGTTAAGAACAAGAGCAAGAATGTCTGAGTTGCACATTTTTGGCACCACCAACATGGCAATTATTGGTAGTTAACCTCCTAAAATATCAGTGCTGTCTCCTTTAGAAACATTAAACACAGAGAGCCACGAGTTTACTGGTTAACTACTGTCTATTGTCTAGTCTAGTGTAGTGTGTGGTCAATAACCAATACTTACGAAAGACTTACTTATTTTTATATATGGACAAAATATCTGCAAGCATTTTTTCCAATGCAAGCTAGTTATACTTCAGGAATATTATACTAAACAAGCCCATTTTAGATATAACAATATTATTTAGGTATATTTGCTTGTTATGCTTTTAGACATCGATTCCCCTCACCTAGAGTCCATCTTAAAAGCCGCTACCATGGCAAACTTTGATACACCTACCCAAAAGCTGAAGAATGAGGCTTCAGCTAATTCAGATCCTCAAGAATTAGGGGCATCATCAAGCAAAGAAGGAGAGGAAGGAGATGAAGAAAATCCTACAGCAGCCCAGTCTGTTATGCCCATGGAAAACCCTGAGCCTGAGGCTTTACCTCAATCAAATCCCCAAACGTCAGGGGTACCACCGGACAAAGAGGGAGAAGAAGAAGGTGGGAAAACATCTAATGCAACAAATGAAGTTCCTTCAAGGGCTTTTCATCTGGAGAGTAGATTGGAAAAAGAAGTACTACTGAGTCGCATGAGGGCTGTAATCTATGGCAACTGTATTGGAGATGCCATAGGATTGCTCACTGAGTTTATGACAAAAGAAGAAGCGCTAGAGGTATGTCTACATTTACGTGAATTTTGTCCATTTGTTTTCATGATTATGTTATCCAGACAACGAGCTCTATACTGTTGTCTGTACTTGGATTGAATGGGTGGCATAGGGTTGATAGTGCTTGCATGCCTCACCAGGGGGGGTCTCCCCTATATTCACTATATGGGTAAGTGCCGCCAAACAGGGTATGGTTTTAAGCGATTCTACTCCGGAACAGGTATATAAAATTACTCTCGCTCTGGGACAGGGTATATGAAATCACACTCTCTCCTCTCTGACAGGGTATCTATTTTTGCAATACTGGAACAGGGTATGGCTTTGAGCAATCTTACTCTGGAACAGTAAGAGCAAGAGTAACCCCCCATGCATGCTTTTCTTGGTTCTCTCCTGTTCTTTGAAGGTTTTCCCCTGGTTATTCTGGTTTTCCTCACTCAGCAAAAATCAAATTTTAAATTCCAATTTGGAGATAAGGGGAAGAAGAGCCACTCTGTGAAACCAATGTTAAGTACGATTGTTATTTATTATATTACACTCAACAAAATTACTTGACTCTGACTGGATAAGAGGAGTACAATTAAATCCGAAATTCTACTCTGTAGAGTCCCAATTTAAAATTCCTCAAATTTGTTGAGTGTATCATGAACAAAAAATCGCACAATTTTCTCGTTCAATTCAAAATTTATAGACACTCATGTTGTTTTGAAAGTTATCAAATTGGACTTTCCTAAAAGGCTTGTCCAATTTTGATAACTTTCAAAATATTATTGAACTCCTACCTATAAATTCTGAATTGTACACAATATCATGCAATTTCCTATACATATTAATAATTCAATGACATTTGTTCCCAGATTGGTATCGCATTCATAGTTTTCCCAGTTTTCTATTATACAATGAACATATTGAATCAATTATAGTCTTGTTATTATTGCCTGATTTCAGATTTATTGCACAGTCAAAGAGAGAAAGTTTCTAGGACTAATGGGATTCAAATGGAATATGCCAGTTGATAAACTGGAATTGGAATATTCCATGAAATGTGATGATTTTCATCGCAGTCGCTGGCAGGTTGGTGATTGGACAGATGACTCAGATCAAATGATTCTCATTCTCAGAACACTGTTGGACAAAAATGGAAAGGTATAAAGATTGATTAAATGATGTTAAAAAAGATGTACGAGTTGGAATAACTGTTGTTTATGATCACCATTCTTTTGCTGATCTCTTTGGCAAACGCAGTAAAGTTTCAATTGATACAGTATAAATACACAAAATATGTAAACAATTTTGCAAGTAAATGTAGATATGGGTTGGGGTAATTGGAAATAGAGTGTTCCACAGGGTTCTGTTTTAGGTCCTTTTCATTTACATGTACTTATTGGTAGATACATGTAAACATGGGGTGAACAGGATTATGTTTTCTTTCCTTTGCATTTAGATGCAGGTTGTCTTGCTGCAATATTAAACATGGGGTGTTCCCAGGTGTTCTGTTTTAGGTCCTTTGCATTTAGTTGTGGAATGGTACGATTACACATTGGGTGTCCCATTAAGGGTTCTGTTTTAAGTCCTTTTTCTTTATATGTGTAGGTACAGTTAAACATGGGATGTTCCACCGGGTTCTTTTCAGGTCCTTCGCTTTTTTTCTTGTACAGGCAGACATTCTTGACTTTGTGCAAAAGTAGTTTTAGTTTTGGATTGAAACGATTACACATTGGGTGTCCCATTAAGGGTTCTGTTTTAAGTCCTTTTTCTTTATTTGTGTAGGTACAGTTAAACATGAGGTGTTCCACAGGGTTCTTTTCATGTCCTTTGCTTTTTTCTCTTGTACAGGCAGACATTCTTGACTTTGTACAAAAGTTTAAAGTCTGGACAAAAACTGGTTACAAAGAGCTTGGCGACCATGGTGGGATGGGAATTGGACGAACAACATTCAATGTTGTTTTACAAAAGGACTTCTTAACTGACCCTCACAAGGCAAGATATTTATCTTTAAGTGATTTTGATTAGCTTCTTTCCAATTCTGTTAGGCAGATTGCGTGGATTTTGCTTCCCGGTTTAAGGAATGGGTCCTCCATGGTTACAAAGAACTCGGGGATTACAAGGGACATGGCCTTGGTGGGCTAACCAAATCTGTTTTGTCACATATACGTTTCCTAACTGAGCCTTATGATACTGATCAATCATAATCATCATAATGTAACAAACTTTACTTGTTAATTTTTATTGTGAAGCTTAGTGTCAATCAAAATTTAAAATAATCAGCTGACAGGAAACAGCCACAAAAGTGGGAGGCCAGTGCTCGCTCCCTGACACCATTACTTTACAATTTTTTCTTGTTTCTGATCCTAAAGTATGTTTCTTTAGTGTGCACATCAAGTGTGGGCTGACAGCGGAAGGTGGGTAGCAAGTAATGGAGGTGTAACGAGAACATCTATTCTTGGCATTCAAGACTTTGGTGATATCCCAACAGTTATCAAAAACACGAGGCAGATCTGTAAAGTAACCCATGCAGACCCAAGATGTATTGCTTCCTGTGTAGCTGTAACTACTGCCATTGCTTTGATGTTACAAGGAAAGCACTGTAAGGGAAATGGATACGATGAAGAGGCAATTTGTATAGAAGCCTTCGATTATGCATGTGCTGAACTTCAGACACGCAAAGAGGTACGTTTTCAGTTGTGATATTGTGAAACAGATGTTGTGTGACCAAAAATTCACATCATATGATAGGATTATTCATCCAACTGGAATCCACTGACACGATATCGTCGCGGCATGGGTCCGCACTTGCGTAAGGCTTATTTTAAGGGCAAACTAGAGAACGATTTAACTTCCTAAGTACAATGTTTAAAATTTGTTTAGAATACTGCAACCCGGTCTACATGGTTTAGAGAAAAGTCGAAAGCTGACAGCGGAATACTGGCAGCGCACCTATTAACTTAGCCACAATACAGCCGGATCAGTTACTAACTCTTATGAATGTATAGTCTGTTAGGTTGATCACTCTGACTCTGCTTTTGATGAATCAACTAATTATTTTGTGTTAGGTGGTTTTCTTTAATTATGCTTATCCACAAGACAATAAGAATGAATGGCGCCTTTTCCAACATAATTATTTGGCAAGAAATAGCATGCAAATTCAGCGACATCTTCGGGAACCAAGGAGTAAAATTCTGTCACTCGTTTTTCGAGAAACGCGCGACAGTATTACCCATGGCTTCCCGAGGATGATCCAACGAGAGGGTGACCAATGAAAAGAAGTCGTCTAAGGTGGCTTTCATTTATTAGCGCATGGGGGAGTCGGCATCACATGGAAAGGACAAGCATAACCCAACCCCCCCCCCCCCCCCCCCCCCCTCTATGGTAGAGGCGACAATTGCATACCCCCTTTCACCATCTTGCAATAAACAAACTATTCTGCTACATTCTTGCAAAGTTTGTGATGTCCATGGACTTATCTTATCAACCTATTATCAAACTTATTTATAATTCATGAGGAAAACACAACAGAAATCACGACCGTGAAGAGTGTTGTAAATCTGATACAAAACTGTGTTCATTTGCATAAACTTTAAGTTGGATTGTCTTGGCCAAATTCACTTTAATTTTGAAAATTTTAGTGAAACACAAAGGAACTAACCTAGACGTTTGATAAGTCATATACAGTATTTGTGTGCGTGTTGTATCAGATATACAATCACTCGGCTACGCCCCGTGGTTGTATATCTGATACAACACGGCCACTCATAACTGTATATATTACATACAGTCAACTTGGCTAGAAATAAGAAATATACAAAACTTTTTAAAGTATTACAGTGCGGGAATATTTTTTGAATCATCCAATCAGAAGCCAGATTCATGACGAGGCTCCAACATTATTTCACCTGATATTTTAAAATTTGTAAAAACTTCCAAAATAAAGTGTATTAATTATTTTTAATAACAGTTAAATTGTGAATGGATGCTATTTTTGTTTCATTTCTTTAGATTATTGAACGTTTGCACTTTGTGCCCCAGTGTTTTGCATACATGTACAGAAGTGCAACCATATATCCGTGAAATAGCAGAAAGACTAAATAGCACTAAACACGTATTTTTCTTTTGTTTTCAATTGTTTCATTTGTGCTAGATTTATAAATATAACATAGCTAAAAATATAACATCTAAAGATTTTCTGCCGCTTGTTGTTCCCTTGGTTTCTAAGGAAAGCGCGGATTAGAAAGTTATGAAAAAATTCGAACGCGTCATTGTTGTCGTCGTACAATTAAGCTGTAGTGTGAACGAGTCGTTTTGTAATGAGTAAAATAAAGTCATTTTTCTATATTTTTTCAAAACAGAAAGAAGAACTTCGAAAACACATGTTTGCTAAAACGTTGTCTGACCTTAGGCTTTCTGGTGATAACAAGATAGGGTACACCTATAAATGTCTGGGGGCAGGGTTCTGGGCCTTCAGACAGAAAGACTTTCGCGTTGCATTGACAGAACTTGTTATGGAGGTATGCAAAAGTTTTTAATTTAGCAGACATTTTCTTAGGTAATATTAAACCGTAGAATTAGTGATCTGGACTCAGAGATAAGATAAAAAAAGACGCTCAAAGAGCGTAAACTGGGTTGCCTTGATTTTTGCGTATAGAAACCGCGTTTGCGCGGCCTCTGAAGTGAGTGTATTTCACTCAGAAAATTTTTTTTACTCGCTGAAATAAGACGAGCTTTTCTACAAATCTCTTACTCATATTATTCTTCGTGTATTTAATTCGGGTCAACAAGCTTCGAGTTTTGACCGAGTTTGAAATCGATCAAAGCCGTGTAATGCAGTTCACTCTGAAATTTTACTTGTAAGGGGGAATTAAAATATTTGCAAATTTTGCAATTTTCTTTAACAGTACTAAGGGACTGGCCATAAAGTAAGGGGGGTTGGGGGGGG